TAGCTATTGAAAATCGGAGCGTGCATGTCAAGCAAGGAAATGGATTCTGAGCAGTTGGGTTGCAAGAAAAATCTCTTTTTTTCTTTCTTCTGCTTCTCAAAACAAGCTACGTGCCTTAGGGGGCTTGTGGTAGGCTGATAATACGGTAACAAGCTGGCCTTTTCTTTGAACCTGGTTTTAAAGCCAATGTCATGATTTTTGGGGGGGGGTATCTTCAACATCTGGGTTTGGCAGCAGTGCTAGTATTTAGAGGTCCCCTAAGCCCTGAAGCAGGAAATGCCTTGTATTATCAAAAGCCATTAAGCCCCCAGATTGCATTATTTTCCCAGTCCCACTGAGAACCATACATAGCTCCCGATTTTGGTGACATCCTGTGACCAGGACATCTTCAGCCCGGTCCTGTGCTGTGTCAAAAACCAGATTCTTGTGATCCATCTGAAATCCACTGCCTTTCAGGCCCGCCTTGGTAACACCTCACCTGCTCCCATCTACCTGCTGAATTCAATGGGAGGCTACCTTTGGCTTTCTCTCCTCTCCCTACCATTCATTTATATTGCAGCGGCACCTAACAGCCGCAGCCTACAGTTCCCTTGTGTCAGGTGCTGTACAAATGCTCGGCAAATGCGGGTCCCGTGAGCATACAGCCTGAACGCTAGGGCAGTGCAGAGATGAGGCTCAGGCATCGGTGTATCGTTGTCTCCCTGTTGTGGCTCTCATGTGAGCCCTCTCTAGGGGCTCGTTGAAGCAAGAGGAGAAGGGAAGCCCCAGGGTGCATCAGCTGCAGAGGATGTGTTCACATTCCCAGGCTTGAAAAGCATTTGCTGAAGGGCTCTGTGCTCTGCTAGGATCAGAAGTGGCCCAAAACTTTTTACGTGGGGCTGCTAACAGCCCCACCGAGCGGGGATAGATAACCCCAAGAACTCAGGGCAGGCCCTTTGCACAGAGCAGCCCCCGCACCGGAAAGCAACCCCCACACCTTGCCAGCAAGCATCACCCCCCATTTCCACTGCTGTCAACAGGCAGTGGATCAGCCCCAAGGCCCCTCCTGGGGTTGAAAGACAAGCTTAGCATGTGCCAGCGAGGCATGACAGAGGGAGAGGAGCCCCCCACCCTCGGACAGCCCTTCCCATCCCAGGAGCAAACTCCACTCCTGCATCTTCCTGCTCAGCAGCACCCCTGCCCCTTCCAAACCCCGTGTTCTGCACAAGGGACGTTTAGCCATCAAGGTCAGGCCAGATCCTGAAGGATGGCAGCAAAACTAACCGTGATTGTATTCAGTGGCAGCTACGTAACTACACCTTGTTGGCTCTTAACATCTAAAGCCCGGGTTGGTTTCCCTTTGCCCTGGTCCCATCCCGCTCAACGCAGGCCTCAGGAATGCAACCAGAACCCCTTCCTCCAGCTGTGCAGGGGGCATGGCAGCAAGCTGCACTGCTGTGGGCATCAGCTGCCTATCGGCAGGAGCCTGGCGTCTGGGTGCTAAGCTACGTAACTACACCTTGTTGGCTCTTAACATCTAAAGCCCGGGTTGGTTTCCCTTTGCCCTGGTCCCATCCCGCTCAACGCAGGCCTCAGGAATGCAACCAGAACCCCTTCCTCCAGCTGTGCAGGGGGCATGGCAGCAAGCTGCACTGCTGTGGGCATCAGCTGCCTATCGGCAGGAGCCTGGCGTCTGGGTGCTAGGGGCTGCCCCTGGCTCTGCTGCTTGCTTTGTGCTTTGTCAATTTGAAGTGCAAGCTATTTGGGCATGGGGGGGTGTGGGGGGGGTGTGAGCAGGGGTGTGTGTGCATGTGTAAGCTCTTTGGGTAGGGGTGCGTGTGCGTGCATGTGTGTGTGAGCCCTTTGGGTGGGTGTGCATGTGTGTGTGTGTGTGTGAGCCCTTTGGGCAGGGGGGTGTAAGCTCTTTGGGCAGGTATGTGTGTATAAGCTCTTTGCATAGGGGGGTGTGTGTGTTTCTGTGCGTGTGTAAGCTCTTTGAGCAGGGGTGTGTGTGCATATGTAAGCTCTTTGGGTAGGGGTGCGTGTGTGAGCCCTTTGGGTGTGTGTGTGTGTGCATGCATGTGTGCATGTGCATGCATGTGTGTGTGAGCCCTTTGGGCAGGGGTGTGTGTGTGTGTGTGTAAGCTCTTTGGATGGGGGGTGTATGTGTAAACTCTTTGGGCATGTGTGTGCATGTAAGCTCTTTGGATAGGGGTGTGTGTGTTTCTGTGTGTGTGTAAGCTCTTTGAGCAGGGGTGTGTGTGCATATGTAAGCTCTTTGGGTAGGGGTGCGTGTGTGAGCCCTTTGGGTGTGTGTGTGTGTGCATGCATGTGTGCATGTGCATGCATGTGTGTGAGAGCCCTTTGGGCAGGGTGTGTGTGTGTGTAAGCTCTTTGGGCAGGAGGGAGTGTGTGTGCGTGTGCATGTGAGCTCTTTAGGCAGGGAAGGCTATGCGCGTGTGTGCGTGTATGTGTAGCTGCATGTACACACATGGGCAGTGCCTGGCACAACGGAGGCCCTGATCTCTGCTGGAGCCTTTAGCCACCAGTGACCCTAACCATGAGGATCGTCCTGGAGGGGAGTCTGGCGGGCGGCTGCTCATACGATTTTGGGGTGAAATCCCTGTAGCGGGGCTGAGCGCGCTGCACGGCCCTGCCTGTTCTTCCCAGGGCAGCATCCGTGCCCAGGGCTGGCGCAGCTCTCTCGTGTCAGGGCTCTGGGGCGGTTTTCTCCCTCTATGACAATTCCTCCGGGGTCCTGGTTTGCTGAGGACGAGGACCCAGCTCTCGGGGACTCTCCTCCATCTGAGAAGCTGTGGCCCATCGGGCCAGGACAGCTTTGACAGGGCTTATTTTCAAAGCTTTCCCACATCCACGTCTGCCAATCTTGGGAAATTCATCTACGTGCTGGCTCCTGTCACCATTTAGGTCCTCGCTCCGTACAGCTGCCAGGTCTGCCCGGGCTTTTTGGAGCGCCTACAATAAGCTAAGGCAAGTCCCGAGTGGAGACAGCTCCGCATGCATGGTACTGGAGTAGGGGTTTTAAGGCCCTGCGTGGGGAAGGAAAGGAAAGCCCGTGAGATTTCTCTGCCCCGTTATGGTCTCCTGGAAGTGGGTCCCAGTATCCAGAAGTGGGTCCCGGCATCCAGCAACGCCGAGCTCAGGGCATGACCAGCGACTCCATGTGGCTACTGCTGTCAGGACTGACTTAGCCTGGAGGTGGAAGCAAACTTTCAACAAGTCATTTCTGCCAGGGTCTGCTCTGGATCAGAAATCCTGCTCCTTTCTTTCCCCCTTCTCTGCCGCTGTTGCTTCCCCCAGGGGTTACCCAGATCTTTCCACCTCCACAGCTGCTGCTCCCAAGCCTGCACCCAGGACAAGAGATCTCTGTTGCCTCTTTGGCAAGAAGGAGCCAGGTTAGGCTGGGACTGTCGGTGGGGGGATCGTTCCCTTTTCAGCACATCCCAGACAAACCTGGCAGATGAGCAGGGCATTTCCCAGGTCCTGCCCGTGTGGCCACTCTGGCTCTCAGCACCCCATGTACCCCACAGGGGACCTTTTGGGGGGGTTATGCAAATGCAATTCAAATTAGGCACTGCATGGGATTTGCATGGGAGCTCCCTCAAGCTCGGGCCACGGGGATGGGGGCTCCAGGGGCAGCAGGAGCCGCAGGGGCGGAGGCTCTACCAGCTTGGCCCGGGGGTGGTGCGGTGCCCAGTGCCCCCTGGGGCCACCTGCAAAGGTGGCAGCGCCTTGCACCCGGGCGGGAGCAGGGGGAGAGGGGGGTGATCCAGTGCTGCACCAGAATTGGGGCCCCTTGGCAGGGGTTGCAAAGCACAGGGGCAGCAGAGGTGACCCCCCCCATTACCAGGGGGCAGCCTGGGGGGGTGCAAAGAGAGATCCACCCCAGCCAGGGGAGACACACCTTGGAGCCCCTTAGTACCCCCACGTGTTGCAAAGCACAACCCCCTCACTCACGCTGTTAGGGGCTGCAATCCACCCCCCTCCGACACTTCCCTTCCCCGGGGTAGAGACCCCTTTGCAAGCCCCTTTAGTGCCTGCAAATTGCCCCCACCCCCAGCGTGAGGTCCCCCCGGGGCTGGAGGTGGGGGCAGCAGGGGAGCCCGCCGGAGAGGTTGCGATGCTGTCCCATATGGGGCGGGGGAGGTCCAGCACTGCGACCCCCAAGCTGGTGGGGGAGGCAGTGTCCTGAGCCCCTTGGAGCAGGATGGGACATCCAGTCCCTGCATTATGGGGGGGACCCCACAGCCCCAGATGCTGGTGCCCAGGGTGGGGGTTTTCCCTGTGCCCCACTTTGCAAGCTGCCCCCAGGGGATAGCAGAGGCAGGGTCTGGGCTAGGGGTTGGGGTATGGGGTGGGGGGAGTCTTGGGGCTGGAAGAGGGGCAGAAGGGCTGGGGGTGGGGGAGTGGGCTGGGGGAGCTCGTGAGCTCCAGGGTCAGACACCTCAAGGGGTCTGGAAAGGGGCTGGGGGAGATTGCAGAGGGTCCGGGGTCTGGCAGGGGAGGAGATCCCGGGGGTCCAAGCTGGCTGAGCCCCCCGAGCCAAAGGGAAGACCCCCTGATCTGTCCCAGCACTGTCACTGCCTCTGCACCAGCGTGACACCAGATTGCTGGGACCCGGCACCCTCCGAGCAGGCAGGCAGGGCCCCTCCGCTGGGCACCCCACAACCGGGATCGGGCTGGGCCCCCGCTGCACCGCTGGGTCCCGGGAAACCCATCGGGGAACCCCGGGTGGCTGGGCCGAGAAGCCCCCTGACTCCGTGGCACAGCACCCCTGCCTCCCCTTGCCTGCCACCGCCAGCCTGGCCCTGGCAGGAGGGGCCGGGCCCCGGCCCCCCTATCCCTGACTCGGTGCCCAGGCTGGAGGCAGGGAGGAGGAGGAGGGGTCTACACTGCTGGGGACAGGCTGGAGGGCTCGAGTTACAGCTCGGCTGGGGGGCAGGGGAGGACTGGGAGCTGGACATATACACCGGCTCCGGCAAGGCAGAGCGGACAGACAACCGTGGTGCCTTGGCCCAGAGCAGACGGTGCGGGGCTTCTGCTGGGGCCGAGGTACTTTGGATTCTCCTGCTGTGCCCAGACCAAAGAGCGAAGGGGGATCGGCTGCATGACGGCTCGGTAGTGCCAGGGGTGAAAACCAACGCTCTCTGCTTCTCCTCTGCAGACCGCTGCATGTCTAACATTTAGACATGTTCAGCTTGACGAATTCAAGGACTCTTGTCATTCTCACGGTCACCCACGTCCTTTTATTAGCAGTTGTCAGATGCCAGGAGGAGGATATCCGTAAGTGGCACCTTTCTTTGGATCTCTAGAAACGCACCCTGAAATGTGGGTTTTGGGGGGCAGAAATCCCTGCTGTTTAACCTGGGAGGGGGTGGAAGTATAACTGGGGTTTGCTGGGGGGCGGGGGGGGTATGCCCGAAAAGCCAAGAGACTTGCACCCCTCCTGGCAGGCACTTGGGCATCCCAGGCTGAGGTTGATGGTGAGCACAGATGCTTTGCCCCCTGTCCAGTCCCTTCTAGGTGCCACCTTCTCCCGGCGCCGGGCAGGGAAGGATGGGAGCCAGCGGGCCGCGCTGATTGGAGGAAAAGTTCTGGGTTAGCTTAGTCCGCTGGGTAGCTTTGCAAGGGAAATGCCTTTGTGACCCTCTTCTTGGGTCTCCAGCCTTTCCGCTGCTCAGAGTCTCATGTCGGGACTAAACCCCCCGCCCTGCTCCATTAGATCAGAAGCCACGACCCAAAAAAATCTCTCCCCTCTCTTCCTCTTCCCGACAGCAGCCAAAGAGTTAATGCGCGGCGTGGGATGGGGGGTGTACAGGGGAGCCAGACAAAGACAGACATTCCTAGACAGACAGGCCGGGAGCTGAGACGTTCACAAAGAGAGAGATCTTTGTGCTGCTCAGCCAGCCCCCAGCCCCGACCCTCCTCCCTCCCACTCCCCAGCCGGGGTCTCCGCGTAAGGTGCAGGGGACGAACCTCGGGGAACTTGATAGCTACCAGATTTGTGCGCGCTGACGGATCAGAAAGGAAATTTCTCCTCTCCCCCCTCCCCAAACCCCTGCAGAAGAGGCCACCTGGAGGATAAAAAGCATTCCAGAAACACTAGGCAAATTGTTTAACTTAAAAAAAAGAGAGAATAAGGAGGAGGGGACAGAAGGGAAAATGTCCCCATAAAGGACCAGCACTTTTTGCTCTTTAAAAAACAAAAAGTAAAGCCATCTCCTCATACAATTGAGTGCAGCCTGCCCTCCCTCCTCCCCGCAGAAACTTCTGCGAAGTCTGGGATATTATTCAGCATAGATACTGGAAACTTTATTAGGTAGAAACAGTTTTTTTTTCCCCTTTCCCATTGTTTTGGGCAGGTTTCCTATTGCTCAAATTCCAGCTCCCTCTCCGCCTGCTCCAGCCTGTAAATCAATTGCAGGGCACGAGCTCGAAGGAGCGCTGCTTTGCTTCTGACTCCGGGCCACGTTCGCTGTCTCGCGACCAGCCTCGGCTTCCAGCAAACAGAAGCTCAAATTCTTTCCTCTCCGGCTTCAAAAAAAAAAAAAAAAAAGGCAGCTTGAGCCCTTTTCAATCAGGGGCGAGCGTAAAGGGGTTGCCTTTCCTGAGTTAGCCCAAGGGAAGTCCTGCGGTCGAGGCTAGGGTATCTTGGCTCTAGCTATGTGCAGCAAAAGCTGGGTTGTTGCTTTTCCCTCATCCTGGGGAAACTGAGGCAGGTCAGGTCAGTCATTCTGCAGAATAGCCCGACCCCGCTGCTTGCAGTGCGCCCAAAACTTAGCAAAGAGGGGGAGAGCGAGCTGCTGCCTCCCGCCTTCTCTTGCATCCCAGGCTCTGGTTCAAGTGTGTCGAACATCCTCCACAAGCGCAGGCATCCCAGGTGTGCCGACACCTGGGCCGAGACTCTCGCGGGGAGAGACACGTCTTTCCGTAGCTCTCAGGCCCTGGAGTCCCCCGCGCAGCCGTTCTCGCCAGGTTGCGCAGGGAGCTCATTGTGCAGGTTTGTTTGCAGAGGGGAGATTGGCAGCGATGGTTTCCAGATGGAGTTGAAACGCTGCCCTTATTTATTTAAACGGGTTCCTACCGGCGCGGCGTGAATCGACCTCTCTGTGCGCTCGAGAAAAGGCCCATTCATGGCTGGGAGGGTCCCCTGGGCTCCCCGAGGCGCCCAGCCCCCTGCACAAAGGCCCCCTGTTATCTCAGTGGCGGCTGCCATGACGGCTTCCCCTTGGATGGCCCTTCCCCGTGCCTGCTCGGATGGGGGTCACCTTACCCTTCCCTCGCCCAGCAACTGCGGTGTTCCCAGCCCACCTCCCCCAGCCCCCGGGCCCCATGCTCCAGGCATGGATTGGACCTCGACTCCCTGCCTTCCTCCTTTCAGAGGTTTTGATGAGAAAAGCAGCCTTCGCCCGTGGAGGCTCAGCCGGAGCGGGCTGCTTTGCATTGGCCCTGCGTTCCAGGAGCTTTGGGGAGGGGGCGTTTGAAGCAGCGTCTCGGTTATGTCTCCCTCCACCCTTTTACAATTTGGGGGGGAGAGGAATTGATGAGCAGCATTGATGGGGTTTCACTGCCCCTTCTGATATGTCTGTGGGGGGACAGGGGGCAGGTCCTTGGCCCCCTTTCCCCCCCATCAGTGCAAGTCAGGAGTCTCTTGCCTGGAACGGTGGAGGTTGCAGCAGCATAGAGCTGGCGGGATCTTGCCATGGCTCTGAGTGTTTTGGGGATGCCCATGGGATGGGATGGGGGCACATGAGCTGATCTGGGCAGTGTTTGGGGCAAAGGTGTTTTGCAGCACCCTCCCCTTGCCTCTTTGTGGCCACCCTGATGGAAGGGAGGGGGTGCGACTGGAGATTTGGGGCCTGGGGGATGGAAATCCCATTGCTTACCCCCTAAGCAACGTTGGGCTTTCAAGACGGCACGAGGAGAAGACAGGAAGGCCTTAGGAGGGGCCAGCAATTGGGCCAAGAAAACCTAGAAGATCCCGACAGGGCCCAGGTCCCTGCCCGAGCGCTGTTTGCTCTGCTGCCATTCGTACAGGATTGCTGTAACCAATGCTGATATCATGCCCCTGTTTCTTTCTCTCCCTTCTGCCTACCCTCCCACCCCCCTCTCCCTTCTCCTTCCCCCTCGGCACAGAGGAGGCAGGGAGCTGTGTGCAGGATGGGCAGAGGTATAGCGATAAGGATGTGTGGAAGCCCGAGCCGTGCCGGATCTGTGTGTGTGACACGGGCACGATCTTGTGTGACGACATAATCTGCGAAGAGATGAGAGACTGTCCCAGCCCCGAGATCCCCTTCGGAGAATGCTGTCCTGTCTGCCCCACTGACCAGCCTGCCGCCAGCGGTCGTAATTTATTTATTTCCCTTCCATAAATAAATTACTGGAGATCAAAGCCAAACAGATAGAGAAGCCCCATGGATGGACGCCCAGAGACTGGGGACATGCATGGGGCTTAGCTAAGAAAGGCCACTTCTTCCTGGGGTCTGGCGTTAGCATCTCGGAGGGCTGAAATAACCGTGTGACACTGGGGGCGGAAAATATTGACCATAATCAACAGGAAACTCAGACTAGTCTCAACAGCCCCGGAGCTAAAGATATCCCCATAATTATGAAGGCTCCAAGACAGCATCAAAGCTGGCCCTGCCCTGCCCTCGTGTCCAAGAAGAGCTCCGGCAAAAGGCTGCTTTTAAATCCACTGCCCACAAATTTCTAAGGGAGCCAGGCAGCGCTCAGTGCCCGGTGCAGGGAGTTTTCTCATTGCTCATCTCCGCCTTTAACTACCGGGAGAGGAGCAGGAACAGCAGGGCAAGGGGCAGAGGGGGAGCACCTCAAAAAGGGCTTTGGAAATCCCCCTGCGGTGTCAGAACCTGCTTTGGGAATCCAGATAGGTCCAGAAATCCCCGCTGGGTTCTTGCAACCCAAGGGGCTTTGGCTTATAAAGAGATCCCTTGATATTTAAGAGACCTCGGGGCTCTGGGGCTGGAGGAACAGTCCGGTTTGCAGAAGCTCAGGAGACACCTGTCTCTGGAAAGGGCACCTGAGGCTGTTTCTTGGTCTGGTACCAGCCATCCTTCCCTGCTCCAGAGGCAGCTCCAGCCAGGGTCCCAGGTGCCAGCCCCACTGCTTTGACCCCAGAGAGCAGAAGTTGCCTTTTTTAACCCTTCACTGGACACGGGCTACCCTGCTTTGTCCCAGCTCCTCCGTGCCTTGCCTTTCACGAGGTCTGGCCGAGAGCCCTCCAGGCCAGTGAAGGGTTGAGAGCTGAGTGAACGCGTGCGCTGAAGTGTGGTACGCCGATGAGGAGGAGGACGGTGACGATGCGGTTACGCCGACACTTGCTTTCTAACGCCTGCCTTAGGGCCGGGCCTCACCTTGCCTCGTGGCTTCTAGTTGCTTAATGAGCATTTTTTCCCCCCGATTGTGTCATTCTGCTTCCTAATCAGCTTGGGCCCATCCTTGGAGGGGAAGGGGGTAGGGGTGGAAGAAGACACGCCAGCCCCCCCATAGCTTTGGAGCTATCGCAGCCCCGCACTGGGATGCCCGCTGTCCTGAACCCTTGTCTCGTTTCATCTCTTTGTAAGACTCCTTCCCTCCGTGTGTGAATCCCAGCCAGTGCCCTGAGCACTGCAGTGCCTCCTCCGGGGAGGCAATGGTATTCTGCAGGCAGTTGGGTATAAAGGAGAAAAGCAACCCCTGTCCTCTTCCCCCAATGGACCCCACTTCCCCCTCCCCAGTGTCTTTTCCCTGGCCTTGTCATGTACCTGTGTGTGCAGAGAGGGGCATTTGTACGTGCCCCCAGACTTGCGATCTCTTGTGATTCTGACATTTTCTCTCTCTCTTTCATCCCTAACAGGGCAACCTGGCCCCAAGGTGAGCTCGCAACCATTTATTTATCCCCACCCTACTCTCTCCGCTGCCACATTTTAATTTCATTCCCATGAGCAGCACACGGGGGCCTCTGTCACAGGGCTGATGGAGGTACCAGCCCTGATACTATCTGAAACTACCCTCTCGGAGATCAGGAGATTCTCCATTAGAGACATTGGACAAGGCCTTGTCTGAGCTGCGTCACGTAGGGCTGGAGCAGGAGTCTGGCCAGTCTGGCAGCTCTGATTTTAAGTGGCCACAGACTCAGGCCCCAGGGCTCATACACAAGCATCTGTAAAGGGGTACTTAAGATAGTAGGATCCCCTCCCAGTGTGGACATAACTGTCCCAGCACAAAGAGCTTTATCCTGGGATAGCATGTTCCCAGAGGTGAAGGGGGAAACAGCTGTGGGGCAGCTGAAAGCAAAGCAGATGCTGAGATCCTTTGCAGGGTACAGACACAGAGCTCTGCTATCCAGGGTGTTTTGGAGACAAGGGGGGCAGTGGGTTGGGGTGGGCTGGGAGCATGTAACCTGCTGGTACCCTCTGTGAGTGCTCATGCTGCCTGCTTTGCCTTGCAGGGACAAAAAGGTGAACCCGGGGATATTAAAGATGTAAGTTTGGATCCAAGTCCTCTGCATGCCTCCCTCCCCCTTTCCTCCCCCCACACCCTGTCGCTACCCCCAGCCAGCAGGCAGGGCATGGGCTTCTCACTGACTTCCCGATGTCTCTCTCCAATCCAGGTGGTAGGACCACGAGGGCCCCCCGGACCACAGGTGGGAACAGACTCTCTCTGTCACATTGTTTGAATATTTGCGGGAGGGAAAAAAACAAACAAACCCTGATGTGAATCTGTTAACTGAGCTCTGCTCTCTCCTCACCTGTTTCAGGGACCTTCAGGCGAACAAGGACAACGAGGAGATCGCGGCGAGAAGGGAGAAAAGGTGCATTTCAGAGTTAAAGTATATCCAAGG